TGTGGATTATTTACATTACCTATGATACGGCATTTGTTACTTCCAAACCCACAACAACATATTAATGATTTTAATGAAAAAAATATGATATAAGACAGATCTTTTTTACATAACGAATTACAAACAAACAAACTACAAGAAATATATCCATACCCACATCAACAATATATACCACAAAAATATATTTGTCAATCATTTATGAATATCACAAATACAATAAAAAAACAAACAAATGCACTTTAAATAACATAAAATATTTATATATTTAAATAAATTCATTAAAAAAATAAATAAATATAAAATGCCTTTGAAAAGCTCTCGCGACTTTCCATTCGACGGCATACAAATACTTTCGACAAATTCCAAATTTGGTAAGCTTCTTAACCACCAATGAAAAACATGCCCCTCTGCTTTACAATATATTTCAAAAAATAATCCAAACAAACATATATGCATTACACAAAAACACAATGTCAAATACTATTGCAAATTCTATTTCACTTTCTGACTAGGCGCAAGGTTTTCAACATCTTGCACCTTGGAGAAGAAAAGAGGGGTAAAAGTAAAAATAAGAAAAAAGGAGGAGGATAAGAAAAAAGGAGGAGGATACGGAAAAAAGTAGCGTAAGAGAATTGAGAAGGAGGAGGGGATACCTTCCTTCGCTGAACACAATGTCCCAGCAATGCGGGCATCATGAATGTATCTGGACAAAATAGGGTTTGTATACAGTTAGCATGATGAGGCATTGTGGCCGAAGGAGGAAGGTGTAGAAAAGGGCTAACGATATTCCCCAAACAGAACTTGCCGCGACTTTTTAGTCTAGATACAGTGATAGTGAGCGTACGTTTAGTATGTATTTTAAAAACTCATAAAAAAAAAAAATCAACATAATAAACAAATAATAATAATGTAACATGCCTTTGAAAAGCTCTCGCGACTTTCTATTCGATTACATACAAAAACTTGCTACAAATTTTTTACTTCCATAAAATTTATAACCACAATTTAAAAACATGCTTCTGTACTTTGTGATACACTTCCTAAATAGTTTCAACAAACAATTATGCATAACACAAAAATCAACGTCAAATACCACAACCAATTCTATTATATTTTTTCTTCAAAAAAACAAGTAAAACTAATTTTATTTTTTTTGACTCTTGACTATTTTATTTCTACAGCATCATGGAAAAATGACAAAGATCTACAGAAACTAAAGACAGTCAGCCAAACAATAATAACACATCGTAAGTATTTTTTTCAAATTCTATAAAAAAAAAAATTTTTTCGAAAGTGAAAATGAAAAAGAGTAAACACAACAAAGATATTTATTAAAATAAAATAAGATAGTGCTATCATCAAAATACAATGATTTGCAAAATACGCATTTTCTCAAATTTCTATGTTCACATACTTTGGGGCTAAAAAGGATTGGAAATTATTGTATTTCATATATAAATTATTGTATTTCATATATAAATTATTGTATTTCATATATATTATTATAAACTGAATAAATCATAATATCATTTTCATCACAATTTGTAATTCTATTTTTTTATAACTGTAAAAACTACACAAAGAACAAATATAAATACCATATTCGTAACTTCATTCTCATATTCATCTCTTGTATTGCTTTTTTTATAGGACTGATATTAAAACACTCAAGAGAAAACGCGACCAAATCGACAAGGACACACAGCAAGTTCGAGATATTTCACAAATAATCCTCACAATAGTTGACAGTTGCAGAGATTGGATGACAGAGATACGTGCAACAGGATCAAAGACTGATCTATCTTTTGGACAAGAAGGCATTGTTGTGTTCACAGAAAAACGGATAACAATACAAGGAGATAGTATTTTAGATGTCTATTTAGCAGACAAAGATTTATTAAATACATCGACAACATAATAGATGTATTAGCCAAAAATATTGACAATGCTAGAAAAATGATATTTAAATACCTTAGAAAAGCAACAGTCTGAAACGTTAAAGAAAATCATCAACCGTCACCAATTAAAACCTCCTTACATTTAAAAAACACAACAGGTCACAATTACAATGACCTTTTCAACAAAGAAATGTCAACATTCAACACACAATACAATAATCTAACAGCGCCACTAGTAATAGGAAACATAACATCATATCCCATATATCAAACACCTTTAGAAGAAGCACCATAGCCAGCATCAATACCACCACCAACACCACAATCCACAACATCAACAACAAAAACAAGAAAAAGATAACTTCATCAGTACAACTGGACAAGCTACTTGGATCAATAGAACGAGCAAATCAAAAAGTGGCAGTGTAGACAGAGAGAGAAAAAAAAAACAGAGAGAGAGAGAGAGAGAGAGAGAGAGAGAGAGAGAGAGAGAGAG